TTTACTAACAACTGATAGTGAATAAATCACTCATTGTAGAGCCATATCTGTGCATGCTGTTTTATGAACTGCTTGCAGGCCAGTGGAAAACCACCAATGAGCTACAATTTGATTTTTTTGTGACATTCATGTAATACTGAGTCAGCACATTTGTGCATCCTGAGAATAAAGATTTGCAGCAAGGAGATGCTTATAAACGTATTGTAGCAAGCCTAGCAAAGATTATGCATTGACACATTGTAACTGTTCTACATTTTTCTTTCCTGTGCTGCATGTTTTGTGCGCCAAGCTGATATCTTTTGAAGGGTAGGGTTAAAAGTATATAGTTGCCCTAGAGGGGATAATGTTTTCTAACCCAACTGGAATTTCACTTTAAAGCATAAAGCCCAGGAACTGTCCTACACTATCTTACAGCTGCCAATCAAATTCAATCCTGCACTTCAACATTACAGCTTGGAGACTAAAACTACAAATGTGGGTCTGTGTTTGTAAATTAGAAGCTTCGAGATAAGCATAATATCCCATTCTATGTAGCAGGCACAAGATTGTAAATACATTAATATGAAAATCAGACTCCAAAGCTCTGATCCCCTTACCAAACTGCACATTTTAGCATAAAGTTTATTTAGAAGCTGTATTTAGCAATTCAAGGATATACTTTTTTTTACATAAGCTCATGTGACCTTCCATTAGCCTTCATTTAGCCTTCATTTTCTTTTTTTGTTTTCATGTTCATGAATTTTGTTTGCTAAAAGTATAATCAGTGCAAGAAGCCTGGACAGTTTTAGGATCTTTTACTTTTACTAAAATTATACAGTGTGAGATGAATGATAAAATTATGTTTTAATGTAAGGTACAATTAGAGTATTTCAAAAAATAACAAAGTAACAAATTCATTTTAAAAAATTATATGTTTTAAGTTTTCTCCATTTTGCAGACTATAATTAACAGAGCACTTATTGAACTAGTGTACCAAATAAATGCATTTTAAGTCCTTGGAAAAAAAATAGGGAAATTAGTGCTGGAGTTACTAAAAAAAACACTGATGCTAAATTTTGCCTGTGTATCTTCACGGGACCGAGATTGAGCTTTGCAGTCACTTTTGCAAAAGTAGTTTTCTTATCCCGGGTCACAATCCTACGCAATGTCCTTTTGTCTCTTTCAGTCAATTGACCATGTTGACCGTGTCTATGCTTATCAGACAACGTTTTCACGGAAACTGTATAAGCCGTCATAACCTTTGAAACTGTACCTTGCAACATAGCAAATAAATTGGCAACTTCAGTCGCAGAGGCACCAGCTAAGCGGGCACCAACAATTTGCCCTCTTTGAAGCTCAGTAAGCTGTGACATGTCTTCATATTACTAGCAGCACATGCAGTGAATGATGAAAGTGAAGCTTCACACCTGTTAGCTAGGTGTCTCATCACACAGCGAAAGAAAGCAAAAGAATGTTATATCACTTCCGCTTTCAACGCAAAACATGCCATATCTTTCACATCTGTAAATTATGTAGTGTTTTAATTTTTTTTTAATTTGTTGCTTAACTCCTGTGTATGCTTTATATAGTACATCTATGATCTATGACTATTTTAGAGCTATAGATCAATATCCAAAGTGTACATTTTTTTATGCCAGTGAAAAACATTCTTGAGCATCAGCTAAGTTCTATTTGGTCTAATTAGGGAAAAAAATTAAAAGTGTGTTGCAAACAGTGGAGTTCTGGGTACCCTGTAATTTTCTTTTACCCGTCCTTGTTTCAGTTCCTAAGGACAGCAGCAGGATGGGTGAAAAAGCAAAATGAAAGGAGAACTAAATGAGAATGGATGACACGGGATAGAAAACATTTTTTTTTATTATACTATACTATGATCCCAGCAACATTATGATCTTAGTGTCCAACTGTTCCTGGGGTCTTTTAGGACCCTAGCAATTCCCCTAGGTGTAGCCAGTGAGAATCTGTATATAATAAGAAAAATGATTTGCACAAATGACACTTACAGATGTATGCTTCCAAAAAGGAAAATGTGTTCTCGTTACTTATTGAAGTCAGCCAGATTCTTTTTGTCATGTTCTAACCTGCTGCAGAAATATTGCAGCTGGAATCTGATTGGTTGCTATGGATATTCCTCTGAGACAGACTCCAGGGTATACGAGACTATTCACAAGAAGATGAAGCGTGATATCTAATCTGACAGTTAAAGCTTTATTAAGTAATTCAGGATCCTTTTTTTCAAGATAATTTACCCAAATAAGTAAATCATATTCTCTTCACAGAATGGCTTATTCACTTATGGTGCGCTAAACATTTATAGAAATTCAAGTGAAAATAAAACCTGCTTTCAAATAAGGTCTAATTTACCATTAACGCTTTTTGCCATAAATATATATTTGCAGTGTTCACTGAGATTATTGCACAGCTGGGGGACATGATTTCTGTTTCTTCCTAATTAGGCTGTAGAAACACATCTGCCTTACACACTATGAGCATGAGATTGAAAGTTCCTCCTATGAAATATTAAAAGGAAGCATTTTAAATGAATCTCTGTTTTACATTTTTTTGGGGGGCCAGATTTACTAAACCATATTCCCCACCATGGAGTTGATATGAGTAGAGAATGTTCACTTTGCTTAGGACTTAGTTTTGTTCCCTTCAATCTTCCAACCTCCTTAAGTTTCCCAGCGCTAATTGGGTTTTTAAAGTATATATTCACTTTCCTAAAGAAAATTCCACATTTGTTTAAAAAATTATATAATATATACCATATAATTGATAAATAGACAATTTTGTAATTTAAAGTTGTTAGGAATTATCTTTCCATTTTAACCTGCAGCCACTGTAAAGCCACTACAAGGCATCCCCAGCAATAGGAGTTTCATTTCTGGAGAGATACCCCCTAACACCTGACCAAATAGATGCTGGCACTGCAGCTTTCCTGATTAGATCACTGACATGTGCCGAGGTGGTTATAATGAAAGCAGACTATCCCATTCTGAAAAAAATCTGGAATGGACATAATGAGAAACAGAGAAAGGTAGGACGTTGTCAAATAGTTTGCTAACATTCTTGCCTTGTATATAGATCATCTAGAGATTATTGCTTTTTGTCAACTAAATTTACAATAAACGTTTAAGTTTTACTAAACCCACAACAGTAAAATATATGAAGTAAAGCATGCTTGTTATACTGTTATACTCACTGTGGAACTTAAGGAGTTAATCCTCTGCATTATGTAAATAGGATGTTTGATCCTGTCTTTTTTTTGATTCTCCCCTTCTTCTATTGTCCCCAATCCATCTGCAGATAGAACAGAGCCTCGGGGGCAAACTGCACATTCTCAGTTTTGTGTGTGTTGTTAGAGAGATTTTTTTATTTTGGGAGAGTGCATGTGATCAGCACAAGGCCAATCAGCACTGTCCAGGCAGAGCCCTGAGGAAGTCACATGACACTGTGACGCAACGCGTCGGCCTGACGTAGTGACGCATTTCCGGCATGGCGGCCATCTTGGTACACCTGTACACCCAGCTGTACACCCATACATACATGCCCTCATCTGAAAGCATGAGGTTTTGAATTGGATACGGCTGCCACGTGAGTGAGGATGTTTTGTTATCTGTCCCTACTTCATAAATAAAATATACTGCACTATGGGAGGATCTATTTTATGTCTCATTTGAGAGATTGATACTGCAACTTACCTGGAGAGGAGCCATTGGTGGAGTACTAATTTTTGAGAGATTTGGGTGCGACAAGGAGCAACATCTGGAGTGATAGCTTACTTGGAGGATCCGTGAGGGGGATCCACTAAAGCGCTTTGATCCGCAAGGGTCGAAGTGATGAGGTGAGAGGCTTATCCAGATGGTGGTCGGATTGTCATATTCACATGCACACAAATATCTACACGAGTTCCTGTCAATTTATGGTCACCATCAGTAGTTATTGGAAGCACGAGTGTTTGTTATTCTTTGGTCACCATCAGCATTTATTGGACTTTGAGAGCCCTGTTCTATTTATTGTTATATTGTGTTTTTTTCACTACACGAGAGGCACGTGTGATGATTTTATATTCACAGAATTATATATATATATATATATATAAAAATGTTTTTTTTTTCACATGTTTTAGGCTACCTGAATTAACTTTGTAGATTTGATGAGTAATGGGTACTAATTAATTTTAATTGATATCACAGTTTTTTTTAATGTAATTTTGAGTTTACACATCACTAATTAATTTGTTATATATATATGTGTGTATGTACCTAAAGGAGTAGCGCTACCTTTTTTATTGTATTTATCAGAAGGAAAGTGTCCGCCGTTTCAAATGTGTGAAAAAATAAAGATGAATTACATTTTTCAAACATTGTGTGAAAACTGGACTAAGGGCATATCTCAGAAAATTACTCCCTGACACAGGGTTAGGGTTGTCCCCCCCAAGTCTAGATTGGTTTATTTGATGATGGGAAGCCTAGTCATGAGATGAGATGATAGTAGACCTTTGGAATATATTTTTACCTCCTACTAAATTTGAGGAGATTGTCTAGAACAGTGATGGCAAACCTTTTTGAGCACGAGTGCCCAAAACTGCAACACAAACCAACTTTTTTATTTCAAAGTGCCAACACTGCAATTAACCACTTGCCTACCTGGACGCACTGACAGACGGCACTGATCGGTGGCACTGCTGGGCATCATTGGGTGGCACTGATGGGCAGCACTGATGGGCGACACTGCTGGGCACTGACAGGTGGCACTGCTAGGCAGCACTGACAGGTGGCACTGCTGGGCAGCGCTGACAGGCGACACTGCTGGGCACTGATGGGTGACACTGCTGGGCACTGATGGATGACACTGCTGGGCATCATTGATGGGTGGCACTGATGGGCAGCACTGATGGGCGACACTGCTGGGCAGCACTGACAGGTGGCACTGCTGGGCAGCACTGACAGGTGGCACTGCTGGGCAGCACTGACAGGCGACACTGCTGGGCACTGATGGGTGACACTGCCGGGCACTGATGGATGGCACTGCTGGGCATCATTGATGGGTGGCACTGATGGGCAGCACTGATGGGCGATACTGCTGGGCAATGACATGTGGCACTGCTGGGCAGCACTGACAGGTGGCACTGCTGGGCAGCACTGACAGGCGACACTGCTGGGGCACTGATGGATGGCACTGCTGGGCATCACTGATGGATGGCACTGATGGGCAGCACTGATGAGCGACACTGCTGGGCACTGACAGGCGACACTGCTGGGCACTGATGGATGACACTGCAAGCAATCTCACCTCTGGCAGCGTCGGTGTGGCTTCCAACCCAGCAGCTCATTCCCATCCACGCTGAACACGTTGCCCCTGGCCCCGGAGCAGTGTGGGAGCAGTGTGGGAGCCTCTTCCTCTCTTCCGCGCCCATCCCCGGGTACATCACCCCTGGTGCCAGAGCCGCATTGGAGCCGTTTCCTCTCGTCCACGCCCACCCTGGCCCCAGAGACATGTGGGAAATGTAGTTTGATGGGGATCCAGTGTGGACGAGATCTGGATGTCCGGTCCATGCGCGCTCATCATCCTCTTCTTCCTGGCGTGCCCACTGAGATGGCTCTGCGTGCCAGCTCTGGCACGCGTGCCATAGGTTTGCCATCACTGGTCTAGAAGTAGATTAAAAAATAGCAAGTCCAGGTAAATGGGCATGGAGTTAAATAGACCCATTTACCTGTCTACGAGGGCCAAGAGTAGTACTTATCTTATTAATGATATAGCACGTGCCTTCACTTCAAGTCTTGAGCGAAATAAGACAATTGATTAATTAAAAGATGTATCTATATCATAAAATAGGATCAGAATTAATCAAACAATAATTTCTAATATGTTTCAAGATATATATTAAGATTCTTTAGGGGGACTTTTATGATGCCATATAATACAACTTTAAATATAAAAGGGGTTTTATAACCATATTGGATATTTAAAAACACTGAATCGGTGGGGTTGATTTACTATACTGTAACTGGAGAGTGTAAAATCAGGTGCAACTCTGCATAGAAACCAATCAGCTTCCAGGTTTTTTTTTTATTCAAAGCTTAATTGAACAAGCTAAGCCAGCCATACATGGGTCCAATTCCAAAAGAATTTTCTTTCAAAAATCTTTTCTAAGAATTTTTATTCGAATTTCTCACCATTAATGGGCCACAGCAACAGCTAATTTTCGAGCGACCATCAAAGTTGAGTGATCAGCATGTTGGAAGTTTTTTGAAAAACAAAAAAATTTCGAATCCATGATGGGAGAATCATGAGAGAAATGTAATTGAAAAATAATTAAACATGAGTTGTAACCTGGAAAGAAAAGAAAATTCTTGGCCATGAAAATTCTTTTCTGTAGCAACACGAGGTGAAGTTAAAGGCTTGGTTGGTGGAATTTCAAAATCAATGGTGGTACTATCGGATTACAAAATGCGCAAAATTTCTGATTTTCTAAAGAAAATTTGTTTGGAATTTGTCCCATGTATGGCCTGCAGTAGAAGCTGATTGGTCACCATGCACAGCTGCATCAGGTTTTGCACTTTTTAGTAAAAACTTTACCACTGCGGCAGATATAGACAAACACATTCTGATTATCAAAACACCTGTCGGCCCTTTCCAATTCTGGTGCTCACTGCTTTGCAATTATATTAATGTAATTATTAAATAACATTGCATGTGTCCAGTAATAGTCACTGAAATCTCCCAGGTTAATGTGTTGACAGTGTACCCTATACCACAGTGGTAAATATTATTATTATTACAGGTACTTATATAGCGCCATCACATTACGCAGCACTTTACATGTGTGTATATATAGATATATATATCTATATATCTGTATATACACAGTATTGTACATTCACATCAGTCTCTAACCTTCACAAAGCATACAGTCTAAGGTCCCTAACTCACATTCTTGCATACATATACTAGGGCCAGTTTAGACAGGAACCAATTAACTTTCCAGCATGTCTTTGGAGTAATATGTTGTTACTATATGAAAACAGTAACAAAAAATATTTAAGATAATATTGATATTGACAGGGATGAACCAGGTTCCTCTTTAAAAAAAAAACTAAAACCCCCCAAAGTTTCTTTAGTGCAGCAAAGTGCAATATCTCACCCCTTTAGAAAATGGTTTCACTGTGCTAAACAGAAATATCTGAATGTTATGGGCTTGGACACATTACACTACCTTCTTGTCTATTTGTAGACTTTAGGTGTATAATTTGCTTGCTCCACTGGGCATATTTACTGGGTATCAACTATCAGTTTGAGTCTAAGCTGTGAGAATGCCAACAATGGTTACTAGGTCAATGTAAACTGTATTGGCTATTACATTCTTCATTCATCAAAAATACATTTTAACAACATTATTACAATGTATTTTGTTGTAGGCCTTCTGAGCTGATCGCGCTTTGAATTAATTTTTAATATAAAATAATGGTATTATTAAAGTGCTTAGTAGACCATAGTTCAGGGGTGTGCAAACTGCAGCTCTCCAGCTGTTGTGGAACTACATTTCCCACGAGGCAGTGCAACATTACAAAACTGACAGTTACAGCTATGACTTGCAGAGGCATGATGGAACTTGTAGTCCTGCAACAGCTGGAGAGCCGCAGTTTGCCCACCCCTGCCCTAGTTACCTAAATGTATTACTTCTCTCCTTAGCTAGTTTATTATTTTTTTATTTTACTGTTTGTATGCAAAAGAAACTCAATTTTAATGTTTTCATTTGATAGCAGCATTGAATTACAAATAAACAGAATGTAAAAATACTTTAGATTATTTGTAAATACATTACCCATTGTTATAAATAGGCCTAATGGTAGATAAAAATGTGTTTTGTGTCTACAGTAATTACATATTGAAAAACTACCACTGGTTAAACTAGCAAATGTGTTTTTATTTGTTTGTCCTTGAAAAACAGTATATGGAAATAGCGCAAAGTTGTGGGAGCTCAGGTGGCTAATAGTACCCAACCTTTGCAATAGGCTTTGTTAACCCCTTTGCATTGGCCGCCTCCTGGCCCTTTAAGAGTTCTAAAAGCCGCAGGAGGCAGGCGTCTGGGTCATGTGACTGCTGTGTTTAGCTGTCACATGAGTGAAAAGCTCCCGATTACAAGTATGCATCAGGAGCTTACCGATCCCCTATGGCTACCAAGCTGGGAGCATGCAGGGAGCTCACTCTCAGCATGGTAAACTCTTTGAAGGCCGTCCTGCCGAGTGGCTGAGTTAAACTTAATGCAAGTTGATTTGTCTGCAATTGTCTCGGTTTTAGGAACATAGCAGTAAGTTGTCGGAGGTTTCAAATAGAATACTCATAAATAGCTCTAAAGGGCTTCATTATCATAAATATGGATTCTCAGAGTAGATTGTAGGATGCAGTTGCCATACGTAAAGACCTCTGATAAGTAGGTAAAATAGGGTGAAATAGGTCAAATATGGACCTCCTTTTGAACAGATTGTTGGATCATCATATATAATTTGCAGGACACTGTTAATTGTTAATCAGCAAGGTTTTGTGCAAATCATTGCTGCATCCTAATGCTAATCCAGCCTGCATAAAAAGGAAGTGTCAGGCTACGTGTCAAAAGAGCTCCTAGGCAAACAGATGTTACAGCTTGCTTCAAGAATACTAGATAAACACCCCTTGTTTTGCTTGTATTTATAATATGTAGGGATTAGGAAAATCAAGTTTTGGTGTTTTTAGAGGTTTTGGATTGTTTTTTGAAAAAAGCAAAACCTTTAAAGTTCTTTGTTGATTATTTTTGTTTGAGCAAACATGTTTGTTATATTCAAAGATTACATTTTATCACAGGGAAATGCAATCATTTATTAGCATAAATAAACAGAATCACTGAAAGGTGTTTGTTGAACACAATCCAGCACAATAACCTCACACTTTATGAAATAACTATGAAATGCAGGTATGCATTAACATATTGACAATGCCAATGCAGAGGAGTAAAAGTATAAGAATACTACTCTCTTGATGTAAATTATATTTCACTGAATAGTATTAGATTATTATTATTAATATTATTATTATTATTATTTAATTTCCTATTGTTTTCAACGTTTATTATTTATTTTATTATTTATTTATAAAGGTAGGAATTACATAATACTCTTTCAGAAATCAATTTTCATTTTGCTGACCCTATGCAGAAAGTTGTTTCTGTTTAGAGCAAGAGAATAAAGGGCATCATCAGTAAAAATGAATGATAAACAGACAAATGCCCTTGGCTGTAACATTGGTCATAAATATAGTGAATGCTGACAAAATCTGGAATTCCTGCTGAATCCAAGGGAAAGAAAAAGGGATCCTGATTTAGCATGTGCATAAAAATTCATGTTTTGAATGTTTTTTTAATTAGCTTAATCAATTATTTAATTAAATTGTATTATATTATTTAAATTATTAAACTTCTCCTATTATGTGTAAATACTATCCTTACCGTAGTAAAAATTAGCAACTTTTATTTATATACAATGGTAGAAATTACATAATACAAATCTATTTTCATCTTGCTGACCCTACATAGAAAGTTGTTTCTATGTACAGCATAGAATAAAGAACATTAGCTGTAAAGATGAATGATACGCAGATGAATTTCCTTGGTTGTAACTAGAGATGAGCGAATCATTCAAAAATTCGATTCGGCTGATTCGCCGAATTTGCGGAGAAAATTCGATTCGAATGCGAATTTAACTTATTAAAAGGGTTTCTAGGCTTCAGAGAGCCTTTATATTAGTGCAGAACACTGTACCTTTAATTTAAATGCCCTTGGAGTCTGCTGGGGAAGAGAAATAATACTGTCAGTCAGTATGACATGAGATGAGTGCCGTCGATCTTAGAATCACCGCACACTTCACTCATTTGGGCAGTCACGGGGCACGACGAAGAAGAAGAAGAATGAAAAGAAGAAAAGAAGAATGAAAAAGAAGAAGAAGAATGAGAAGAAGAATGAAAGAAAAGAAGAAGAAGAAGAATGAAAAGAAGAAGAATGAAAAGAAGAATTGAGAAGAAGAAATGAAAAGAGAGAAATGAAAAGAAGAATGAAAAGAAGAAGAAGAATGAAAAGAATTGAAAAGAAGAATGAAAAGAAGAAGAAGATAGCAATGAAAAGAAGAAGAAGAAGAATGAAAAAAAGAAGAAGCAGAATGAAAAGAAGAAGAAAAGAAGAAGGAGAAGAATAAGAAAAGAAGAAGATAAAGAAGAATGAAAAGAAGAATGAAAAGAAGAAAGAAGAAGAATAAAAGAAGAAGAAGAAGAATGAAAAGAAGAAGAAGAATGAAAAGAAGAAGAATGAAAAGAAGAATGAAA